GCCTGCTGACAATCCTGCTACCCTCAGTCTTCTGTAGGCCCTAGGTATGGCCAGTCCTCAGTGTCCCTTGGGCATTGGAGCTACCAGACCATGAACTAGGCACTTCAGTACAGGAGGAGCTCATTTTACCTTTCCAGTAATTCTGTGAGATAGGACCTGAAGGTCTCACACAGAGATTATTAGCAGGACTGGGATTTGTAAGTGCGTTTCTGTCTCAGAAGCTTTTCAACTATACCAGTTGCTTCCTGTCTCTTCACTTCTCTGGGCTCAGTTTTCTCATCTGTAAAGTGGGGATGGGGTAGGTGTGTTGAACTAGATGGTTTCCAAGGGCCTGGCCAGCACTGTGAGGTCTTAATCATCAGAACCATGCGCTCAGCTTCCACTGGATGTTCCCTGTTTGTTGCTTCATAGGCACCTCACACTCAGCCTGCTTCATACTGAGCCACTCTCTTCCCCCAGCCAGCAGCTTCCCTGGCTCCCCAGCTCAGGGAATGACCTCACTACCTACCTGTGTGCCCAAGTCAGAAACTGGCAACATGCCTCCTCTCTCGTACCCCACATCCTTTCAGTCAGTCATTCAGTCCTGTCAAATGGACCCCAAATCTGTTCACCACTCTTCCTCCCCACTGCCATTTGACCAGTGCCTGTTTATTATTGCTCACTTAGATCACTGAAGCAGCCTCCTGCTGGCCTCTCTGCTTGCAGGGCTTAACCCACTTTCCCTCCACATCAATATTTTCTGAACTACAGCCAGTTCATAGCCCTAACCTATTGCTGATCATGATGCTTTGTTTAAATTTTCTGATGGCTCTCCATTGAGCCCACAAAACCCATAGTATCTGGTTTAAATTTCTTGCTGTGGCCCTCAGGCCCCGCCCCCAACTTGGCCCCTGCTGACTGCTCAGTCTGGCTTTACACCTCGTGCCCGCACTTGCCAGCCACCATCCTATTCTTGCTTCTAGCCTCAGTAACCTCTTTTTCCAGTCTTTCCCTCTGGCCATCACAGCCCTTTGCCAGTACCACAATCCTCAGACCTTCGATTTCTGGAGTATCCTTCTCTGCTTCCTGCCTCCATTCAGTCAAACAAGGATCGACCAGCAACAGACTCTGCCCAGAAGGGAAGTGGCAGTGTGGCTTGGTACAAGGAGCACTGGATTGGGAGCCCAGAGATTTGGGGCTTCATTCTAACCATGTAGTCTTAGACAAGTATGCTGACTACTTGAGCTTCAGTTTCCTCATAAAATGTCCCAGTGTAGGTCTTTGCTACTGAGAATATGACCCAGCAGCATCAACATCACCTGGGAGCTTGTAAAAGATGCAGAATCTCAGATCCCACCTCAGATCTACTAAATCATACTCTGTAAGTCAGAAGTTCTGATCTACATGGTCTCCAGGGTCCCTATCATGTTGCTCTGAGGCAGGGCCTTCAAGGGTTAACTGCCTGGACTAGTTAAGTGACATCACCAAGTCCCTCCCAATCTTATCTCACAAATATTCCAGTTGGTTCCTCCTTTCTATCACTTTATGGCAGTCTTGGCTCCCATCTGCCCTACTCATTTTTTCTCACCTGGAGAATGGCCTTTACCCCTCCCATCCTCAACTCATCTTCTAGGCCCTGGTTGCCTCAAATTGGATTATGTCTCTCTCCTACCCTGACCCTATCCATGACTTCAGATTGCCCAGAGGACAAGGTCCAAAATTCCAAGCTCACGGTTAGCCCCAGTGGCTTTACTAGCCTCATTTACCTGCACTGCAGCCACAGGCTAAATCTCTCTTCCACCCTCTGGGTATTTGCATATGGGAGACCCTGCACTGGGAATGCCTTTCTTTCTTCTCCTCCTGGTGAAGCAGGTCATTATTTCAGATGTAAGGGCCACCATCCTCTGACTCCCAAGCCAAGCCAGTCAGTTCCTTTGCTTCAGGCTCTCTCCATCTGTCTTATATCCATCTCTCTATTAAAGCCTAGGGTGGTATTTCAGGTCACAACTCCCTCTTCACTGGGCAATTCAATAAAGATATGTGTAGACAGTGAATGTGTGAGCCGCTGGAGGTACAATCCTTGCCAGATTCCTGTGAGCTGAGAAGCCAGAGGATGCTGAGCCCATCCAGGGCCAAGGAGAAGGCCATGCCGGGCCCCTTAGACTGTGGGTGCTGAGAATAGAAGAGCTCTGAAGACTCCCCTGCCTGGGAGAAAAGACCTGGTGGGTCTTTGGGGCAGAAGAGAAAACTCAATGCAGGGTGCTAGGGAAGAAGCACCTCCTCTCCATAGGAGCTCTCCCTTGGGGCACATTTAGGTGGAGGCTGCCTGACCATCTGCCAAGGACATTCCTCAGGGAATTCCTGCGGCAGGCGGAGGCTGGATGAGGTCCCTTCAAACTTGGAGATTCTGTGATTCTAGAGTTGGGCAAACAAGACTCACACGTGGAATCTGTAATTATCGAGAGATGCCAGGCAGCATGTAATTCTGCCTTAAGTGGCAATGA